CATTATTCTCAGTTGATTCTTAAATGTTGAACTACCTTTGCATATCTGGATTAAATCAAGGTGTATGATTGTTTTTAGACATTGTTGGATTTGACTTGCTAATATTTTGTTGAGGATTTTTACTTTCTATGTTTGTAAGAGGTATTAGTCTGTAGTTTTCCTTTCTTGGATTATATGTAGCTGGTTTTGGTATTAGGGCACTTTTGGCCTCATGGAATGAGTTAGTCTTCTCTGTCTGTGTTTTCTGAATTGTATGATGTTTTCCTTAAATGTTTGGTAGAATTCACTAGTCAAATAATCTGAGCCTGGGTTTTTTTTTCTTTTGGAAAGGTTATTAATTTTTGATTCCATTTCTTTAATGAATAATGAATATAAGATTATTAAAGTCTTTTGTTTCTCCTTGTGTGGGTTTTGGCAGTTTGTCTTTTTGAGGACTTGGTCTATTTCATCTAAGTTATCAAATTTGTGGGTGTCAACCTGAAATAAGCTGAAGCAAAATTATTCTAAGTAGAGAGTTTATTTGGGCAGAGCCTGAGGATTGCAACCCAGGAGCATCGACTCAAGTTGCCCTGAATACACACACTTCCTAGCAGCAGTTATAAGTAAGTGGATTTTTAAAGGCCAAATTGTAGGGGACAAGGAATGAACTAATAAAGAGTTGCTTGTCAGGAGTTCTCACTGGTTTCCAGACGTAGCATTGAGTTATTGGCTATATGTTGTGAAGCTATAGATTGTGAATTATAGCATTATTAGGTTAATTCGTAGCTACTTACGGCAATAACAAGCAGTTTCAAGAGGTGAATACACAACTCAGAGGAGGTGGGTTGGTGAGGGGAGGTATGGTGTGATTTCGGTCTCATTTTAATGTCTCTTTGGGCCTGGTAGTTAAAAATATTTGCATTCCTCAGATAAGATCTTTTCTCACAGTCATCGAGTTAAAGTTATTCATAGTATTCCTGTATTACTTTGTCAGTATCTGTGGATCAGTTATGACTCCTTTCATTTCTAATATTGGTCATTTGTTTTCTCTCTTAGTTATCTTGGCTAGAGATTTATCAGTTTTATTCATTTTTTTTCCAAAGAACTAGGTTTTGGTTTTGTTGATTATTTTTTTGTTTTCTTTTCCTCATGTTCGTTGCTTTCTGCTCTGATTTTTATTATTTCTTTCTGCTTGCTCCTCTTTTCTAGTTTCGTAAGGAGGTAACTTAGCTTATTGAGGATAGATCTTCTTTTCTAATATGTGCATTCTTCCTGTAACCTGTTGATGAAAGAGTCAAACTCTGTGAAATGTTTAAGGAGGTTTATTTTGAACCAAATATGAGTGACCAAGGTCTGAGACAGTCTCAGGAGGTTCTGAGAAGACGTGCCGAAGGTGACTGGGTTACAGCTTTAAACGTTTAGGGAGGCGTAAGACGTCAATCAATATAGGTCGGGTATACATATACATTGGTCCATGTGGAAAAGCAGGACAGTTCAGAGTGGGGACATACGGGTCATCACTGGATTAAAAGAGTTTCTGTTTGGCAATTGGTTGGAAGAGTTATTATCTGAAGACCTGGAATCAATAGAGAAGAGTGTCTGAATTAAGATAAGGAGTTGTAGATACCAAGGTTCTTAATGCTTAGATGAAGTCTCAAAGGTGGCTGCCCTTAGAGACAATAGATGGCAGATGTTTCTGGTTCAGACCTTTAAAAGGTGCTAGACTCTGAGTTAACCACTTCAGGATTGAGAAGACCTGGAAGCGGGGTTCTGATTATGTTAATAGAGTCTTTACAAATACAGCTTTTCTCCACCAAAAAAAAAAAAAAAAAAAAAAAAAAAAGGCTTTGCAGGATCATTTCAAAATAGGGCAAAGAAGCATGTTTTGGGGTAAAATATTTTGATTTCCTTCTTTATCTGTCATGTGAAGTTATGCCAGAGTCCAGTTGGAAAGCAGCCATTTATATAGGGTTAAATAAAACCCCTCTGATGAAATTTCATGGTTTGCAGGGTGTGACTCCCCAGACCTGTTAGACAGGAATTTGGGCAAGAGGAAAAAGGTCAAAGTTTAGTCTTCAAAGCTCTGCTTTGCTGTATCCCACAGATTTTGTTAGGTTGTATTTTTGTTTTCAATTACTTCAAAGTATTTTTAAATTTCTTTTTAGAAGTTTGAAGATTTTTTTTTTAGAAGTATGTTGTTTAATTTTCCACATAATTGGGGTTGGGGCGAGTTCCCAGCTATCTTTATGTTAATGGTTTCTAGTGTACTTCTGTTGCAGTTTGAGAACATAACTTTGCATGATTTTCATTTTTTAGAATTTGTTACAGTATATTTGATGGCCCAGCATGGGGTCTGCTTATAGAATGTTCCATGTGAACTTGAGGGGAATGTATATTCTGCTGTTGTTAAATGTAGTATTATGTAAATGTCAATTAGATAAAATTGATTAACTTTGTTGTTTAGTTTAACTCTGTCCTTACAGACATTCTGCCTGCTGGGTTTATCAAGGTTGTTGACCAGAGTATTGATGTCTCTAAGTGGATTTCTTTCTTCCTTTCTGTTCTGTCAGTTTTCACCTCATTTATTTTGATCCTCTCTTGTTAGGTATATGCATGTTTAGGATTGTTATGTCTTCTTTTCATTATTGTTATTATACAGCGCTCCTCTTTAACTCTGATAATCAAAGAATGTTTGCAGTCTGCTTTGTCTGAAATTAGTCCCCAGTATCACTTTTTTTTTTTTTCTTTTTTTTTGAGACAAGTCTTACTCTGTTGCCCATGCTGGAGTGCAGTAGTGCGATCTCGGCTCACTGCAGCCTCTGTCTCCGGGGTTCAAGTGATTCTCCTGCCTCAGCCTCCCAAGTAGCTGGGATTACAGGCGTGCACCGCCATGCTCGACTAATTTTTTTTGTATTTTTCACCATATTGGCCAGACTGGTCTCAAACTCCTCACCAGGTGATGTGCCCACCTCGGCATTCCAAAAAGTACTGAGATTACAGGCATGAGCCACCACTCCTGGCCCAGTATTGCTTTTTAAAAGACTTCTTGGGGGCCTATTTATTTTGCAAGATTTGTAGTTTCCCTTATCAACTCATTTGTACTGTTGTCGGATTATCTGTGAGAGTCTGTTAGGCGCTGATGTTAATTTTTCATTAGGGAGGGATGAGTCAGGGGGTTAATTTTTATTGGTGGATAATTACTAACGCATGTTTTTATACGATGACAGTTTTTATTTTGCCAGTCAACTTTGTACACCAGATAAAGAATATTCATGTAAGATGGAGTATTTGTATTTATTGGAGTGCTAATTTATTGGGGTGCTAATTCAGATCTCACTCTGTTATTTAGGATATAGTTAAATTGTCTGTTCTCAACACGTTAGAAGTAAGGTAGAGCTGGCGTTGGGAGTGGGAAGGCTTGTGTGGCACCACCTGATGTTGAAGGAAGGGGACTGATTGACTATATGGCAGTGGCTACTGTAGTTACATTTGCCACTGGGAAAACCTTTGTCTAGAGAGGCCAAGTAATTATCTGGAAATCTCTATGATTCTTTTTTTTTTTTAAAAAAAAAGACTTGCAGTGTTGCTGTATTGTCCAGGCTGGAGTGAAGTAGCTGTTCGCAAATGCACTATAGCCTCAAATACCTGGACTCACGTGTCCTCCCATCTCAGCCTCCCGAGTAGCTGGAACCACAAGCCCAAGACACTGTGTCTGTTTGTCTTGTAAATCTTTGTTCTGTGCCGATGCCGGATCAAATAGTAAGACGTCACCGTACACTTTTTTCTCTTCCCCCATTGATATGGGGTGGGGAAGAAAATAAATACCAGGCTATCTCTTCTTGCCATTCAGTAGCATAAGTGATTTATAACTTGATAACAGTCTGAAGGCATTATAGTGTAAATAATGCTATATCAACTGTTCATCACATCTCAACATTTGTAATCATAAATAACACTTATGATGCTCATTAGTTTACAAAAGTGTCTTTACATCAGAAATTTTGTGTAGTTCCTGGTAACAATCCTGTAAGTAATCTTCATTTTAGTAGTGGACCTGGGCTTGGAGTCTGAAAGGGAATTATGTGGAATTGTATCCCCAAAGCATCAGAACCCAGATCTTATTTTTTCCCACACTGTACTACACTGCTTCTATAGAATAAGAGGCCTCAAAACATTATTCCCCATGGTGTCAGCTGGACTAGTTTACCGTATCATATTTAAATGGTGTGTTTTATGAGATTTTTATTTTATTTTATTTTTGAAACGGAGTCTTACTCTGTTGCCCAGGCTGGAGTACAGTGTCACGATCTCAGCTCACTGCAGTCTCCACCTCCTGGGTTCAAGCAGTTCTCCTGCCTCAGCCTCCTGAGTAGCTGGGATTACAGGCGCGTGCCACTGTACCCGGCTAAGTTTTGTATTTTTAGTAGAGACAGGGTTTTGCCGTGTTGGCCAGGCTGATCTCGAACTCCTGACCTCAAGCAATCCGCCTGCCTCGGATTCCCAAAGTGCTGGGATTACAGGCGTGAGCCACCGCACCTGGCTTATTTTATTCTATTTTTCTGAGATGGAGTCTTGCTCTATCATCCAGGTTGGAGGGCAGTGGCGCGATCTCAGATCACTGCACCCTCTGCTTCCTGGGTTCAAGTGATTCTTCTGCCTTGGCCTCCTGAGTAGCTGGGATTACAGGTGCCCACCACCACACCTGGCTAATTTTTGTATTTTTAGTGGAGATGGGGTTTTGCCTTGTTGGCCAGGCTGGTCTCGGAACTCATGATCTCAGGTGATCCACCCACCTTGGCCTCCCAAAGTGCTGTGGTTACAGGCGTGAGCAACCGCACCTGGCCTTTATGGGATTTAAAAATTACACTGTGCTTAAACTGTATACCCTAACATGAGTTTTTGTGGAGTATGTAGCAGTGTCTCTTTTTACTTCCTGATGGTTAATGATTGATTTTCAAATGAATTGATTTAAAATGGAAGCCTCAGTATTACCTAATTTTTTAAAACAATTGTCTTTATAGAAGCTGAAACCTATCAACACTCTTCAAAATGCAGTGGAATGTACCACGGACTGTATCTCGGCTGGCACGCAGGACATGCTTGGAGCCACATAACGCTGGCCTTTTTGGACGCTGTCAAAATGTAAAGGGACCTTTACTTCTGTACAATGCTGAATCCAAAGTGGTTTTGCTACAAGGCCCTCAAAAACAATGGTTGAATTTATCTGCTGCCCAGTGTGTTGCAAAGGAAAGGAGGCCATTGGATGCTCATTCCCCCCAACCAGGAATCCTTCGCCACAAGCAAGGGAAGCAACATGTTTCGTTCAAGAGGGTTTTTTCATCCAGTGCCACAGCTCAGGGAACTCCAGAAAGAAAGGAAGAGCCTGATCCTTTGCAAGACAAATCTATTAGCCTTTATCAGCGATTCAAGAAGACGTTTAGACAGTATGGAAAAGTTCTGATTCCAGTGCATCTGGTAACTTCTGGTGTTTGGTTTGGAACATTTTATTATGCGGCCTTGAAGTAAGTTTTTGCTTAGTCGAATGTCTTTCCCTGTCTTACTAGAATATGAATCTTTTCAATTGTACTAATGACAGCTTTAGATTTTTAAATGCTTTAATGTGTTTCATCCATAGAGGATAACTGTTTTTCATAGCTTTTTTCACATTTTAATAATAATAGCTAATATTTGCTTCCTGTTTGGAGCAAGCATCTGGTGTAATTTTTAACTGTTTCATCTTATTTAATCGTCCCAGCAACCATATAAAGCAAGTTACACAATTACACCCATTTTATGAATGAAAAAACAGATTATTAGGCAAGGAGAGTAAAAATAGTTCAGCTTTTCCCAAAATAACTCAGCTGCTAAGAAGTGGTGCCTGGACTAAAAACCCAGTTAGGTGTGTCTGATCTCAAAGCATACACTCTGCTCTATGCAGATCTCATCCTGGCATTCAGGAGAGCACAGACATAAAATAAAATTTCAGAAATTTGGCAGCACCATGACTCCGTAATTATATATTTCTTAGAATGTTCATAAATAGGAAAAGATACCTGTTTTGCCATATGTGTGGTTTTGGTGGGAAATCTGCAAGATTTTCCCAAAGCCCGGCTAATCTGTTTGCATTGACGTTACTCAAGTCCAGTAAGTGTCAAGGAAAGGTCTTATGTTCTGATCAGAAGTGAATCTGGTAGGTCTAGCCTCCCAGTGTTTGAAACATACAATTTTAAGTGCATCTGTCTTGTTAATACTGTGCCTTCCCCTAAGGTAAGTTACTTGCTTCCCACTGCTTTAGGCGCAGGAGGACCAGTGACTCCCCGTTTCTGCCACTAGGCGACCGAGTGCCTGTTCCCCTGTGTCTGGGCCTGGTGTGCAGGGAGGACTTGGACACTTCAGTAAACTCTCCTAATGGGTTGAGAATTACTTTATGCTTTCCAGAGTTGAGTGGTTTTCGGTGCTTGATTATATTTAACGGCTTGATATCAAGACATTAACCAATTATGGTTAGTGTTGTACATAAAGCTCACTCCTTAGAAGCAGCCCATTGCAGACTAAGCTGTAAGTAGCTCTTCCAGGGTGATGGAATAGAAACTACTTATTTTTGGGAACACAGGATCACATAAGTTTCTTCACAAAATTTCTAACAGGATTTTTTTTCACCTTGTGTAATTGATGCTGTTCTGTTTCACTTTGTAACTTTACATTATGTTCCTGTTATTTAATTATATCCTTCTTTGTTGCATATCATTTTCTCTAAGAATTGTATCTTTACTTGCAGAAGATTCTTTAGGTGTATATTGTATGGAAGTGTTTCTTGGTTTATTAATGACATTTTTGGACATGTTTAATATTTATAGAAGTCTTCAAAACTGCCCTTGGTTTTTTCACAGAACATAAAGTTACCATTTTGATCAAAAGTTATTGTAGGCATTCAGCCCTGTTGTGTAATGAATGGATTTCTACGTATTAACTTTTCTTTTTTGAGTCATGGAGGGTTTTGTGATTCAGTCTGTGAACGATGACATGAAAAGTGCTTCTTTCTTTGGCCTTGTCAGGTTGCCATGTAAGGCAAGGCATTCAGCCTCCTGGCTGGCCTGAGAGGGAGAAATTCAAGCTTTTAATTAATTGAATATGAGATTCTCATTTAGTTTGTTAAGAATAATATTTTTGTTCCTTTTACTTTTCCTTATTCTTTTTGGCAAAAGTTCTGTAACTGAAAAAGTAGACCCAGAATGATCTAATGATCTTAATAATGCTTAAGATTTCTTCAGTGCTGTGTGGCACCTAAAGCGGTTGTGGGTGATGCTCTGCCATCCCCTGTAAAATGCAGCTTTGTTAGTTTTATTTTCCCCCCTCTTTTTTTGCAAAATGCTTATACGTAAACATGATGGTACAACTGTCAACTTTAAAATAATACCCTTCCCCATTACGCCTTGCTTTGGGGCTGTTAGCATAGGAATCTGGTTGCGAGACCACCACTACTGCCTGCCACGACCACTGTGTCAATTCTGTCATAGCATCACGGAGAGAATTTAAAATGGACAGGTCCTTGAGGTTTTTATTAGCTCCTTCAAAATGTGAAAGTCGATTTGTTCTAAATGAAGATCTTAATCACAAGTAATGCTTAAAAAATCAGACTAATGGATGAAAGAAAAAGGAATTAGAATATTTTCACTGTAGGATGATTGTATTGTAAAAATTGAAGTTGATTATACTAAATACAGATTGTCAGTTCACCTGACAAGAGGCTAGTTATATTTTAGTGTTGTTCGTTTGTTTGTTTTAGCTGAAAAAAGTTCTGTGTTATTTGCTTGTTGCCTATTACTATTAAAAGAAAGGGAGAAAAATAGTTTGTAGCTGGAAAGACGGGCATTTGACATCATGCCTCATTACTGACCAGTGTTTGTCTTAGTTACTCTGACAGGTCGCGTTACTGCCTTTCTAGGACTGTAGAGCAAAATGTCATTCTATATTTAGTTAACAGAGTGATGAAGTTCTCAGGCTTTTGAAATTCTTTATTTCAGGGAGTTCTAAATTGTGCATGCTAATAGATTTTATTTTAAAGTGAGCTCTGTTGCCACTCCTCTCTGGCAAAGCCTTGCAGAGATCTGATGTCTTCTGTTCAGAAGTGCTTTAGTTTGGTCAAATGTGGCTCAGCAGTGGTGGTGCGGTTCCTGCATTTAGATGCCTTGTGTTTGAGACCTCAGGTTCCTAAAGTTACAGACCTACTCTGAGGCAAAACCCTGATTACTTCTACTGCACTGTACCCAGACGGCGAATGTGCTTTTGTCCTGTGTGTTTCTTCCTCTGTGGAAACAGTTGTAAAGCTGGCAGTTTGTGAAGCACAGATTCCTGGCTGGCTGTGGGCAGTTCAGAGTAGAAAGTGACAAACAATAGATGTTTCTGTTTGAATCAGACCCTCATTAATACTTTACATTCAGTACTTCCAGGGGAAATGAAAGTTATTTTTAAGAAAAGTCAAATCAACAGAAATAAATGGGGCCGAGTGCAGTGACTCTCGCCTGTAATCCCAACACTTTGGGAGGCTGAGGCGGGTGGATCACCTGAGGTCGGGAGTTCGAGACCAGCCTGACCAACATGGAGAAACCCCATCTCTACTAAAAATACAAAAATTAGCCGGGCATGGTGGTGCACTACACTACAGGATTACAGAGCCTGTAATCTTAGCTGCTCAGGAGGCTGAGGCAGGAGAATCACTTGAACCCAGGAGGTGGAGGTTGCCGTGAGCCGAGATCATGCTATTGCAGGCCAGCCCAGAGCAAAACTCCATCTTAAAAAAAAAAAAAAAAAAAAGTGGACCTAGATGCTTGCTTTTTCTGACAGAGGACACAAGCCAGTGACGATGCAGCTTATTCCTGGAGTCTCAGTCCATTGTTGTATGATCTTTTATTTTTTAATTTTTTTATAGAGACAAGTGTTGATAGTGTTGACACCGCGCCTGCCCTAAACCTTATGTTAATGAGATTTAGTTGTTATCTAGAAAGAGATTTGAAAAAGAATTGAAACTGAAGATAGAAGAAAGAATGAAGGTAGAAGAAATGAGATTGGACTCATAGTTTATTTTTTAATTTATCTGTTTAAAGGTTCCTTACATTGTTCTGTTTTCCTCTGACTTCTGATGATAAGTAATTTTAATAGTCCTTTCTTGAGGATGATCAGCTGTGTCTGCTGAGGGTGCTCCCTGAACTGCTTAGTGTTATGATGAAGTCACAGAGTGGGGCATCTTTTCCCTAGTTAATATTAAAAATATTCAGAATTTACCATTACCGTAATCACAATAGATCTAGGCAATGCTCTTTCTTAATGTCATAGGGAAAGCTGCTTTTACAGTGGAGGTCTACGGGCCCTGCCTTCACCAAGAGGCAAACTCAGTAATGCTAATAAGGGAGGAGACCACCCCTCATATTGTCTTATGCCCAATTTCTGCCTCCAAAGAAAGAAGTAAAGACTAAAAGACAGAAATGAAATCCACAGGCAGACAGCCCGGCCCCACACCCTGGGCCTCGTAGTTAAAGATCGACCCCTGACCTAATCGGTTATGTTATCTATAGATTATAGACACTGTATGGAAAAGCACTGGGAAAATCCCTGTCCTCTTCTGTTCCGTTGTGATTACCAGTGCCTGTGGACCCCCTTAGAGTTTTAAGCTCTTAAGAGGCACAGGAATTGCTCACTCGGGGAGCTCGGTTTTTGAGACAGGAGGCTTGCTGATGCCCGTGGCCGAATAAAGCCTTTCCTTCTTTAACTCGGTGTCTGAGGGATTTTGTCTGTGGCTCGTCCTGCTACATTTCTTGGTTCCCTGACCAGGAAGCGAGATGATTAACGGAGGGTTGAGGCAACCCCCTTAGGCGGCTTAGGCCTGCCCTGTGGAGCATCCCTGCGGGGGACTCTGGCCAGCTTGAGCGCCGCAGATCCTGAGAGTGCTCACTGGTAGGCAGTTGCCCCAGTGGACCGCCTCACCAGAGCAGCACATGGCAGGCCCCTGCGGAGGATCAACGCAGTGGCTGAACACCGGGAAGGAACTGGCACTTGGAGTCTGGACATCTGAAAGTTGGTAAGACTGGTCTTTGAAACTTGCCCACTCCATTTGAGTGGAAGCGTGGCCTGATCACCCACGGCTTGCCTGTACTGGCACTTTGGTTTTTGTTTTTGACTTGACTTGGATTGCTCGATACTTCGATTTTGGTTTTGAGCTGGCTTGGATTTCTTGATACTCTGATTTTGGTTTTGATTCTGGTTTGGTGTAAACCATAGAAGTGTGTGTGTGCACTTTTTACCTGTTCTTTGTTTTGTGGTGTGTGTGTGTTGTCTCGAGGAAGCATGGGTCAGGCACAGAGTAAGCCCACTCTGCTAGGAACTATGTTGAAAAATTTCAAGAAAGGATTTAAGGGAGATTATGGTGTTACTGTGACACCAGGAAAACTTATAACTTTGTGTGAAATAGACTGGCCAGCATTAGAGGTAGGTTGGCCATCAGATGGAAGCCTGGACAGATCCCTTG